CTAGCCTGTGCACCTGGGGTCTAGCCTGTGCACCTGGGGTCTAGCCTTCGCTCTGCCATCTCTAGCTTGGTCAGTCCAACCCCGTCTCAGGTCCCTGATGTCCTCCTCTGCCACCCCAAGGCTGTAGGGTGGCCCTGACTGGTTCCCAGCCCTCGGAACCCGCTAGAAAAATGCAAAGTACCGTTGGACGTCACGTACCCCAGACTCTGTGGTGTCCTGGAGACGGAACCCAGGGGCCCTTCACCCCCGAGCCCCATCCCCAGCCCTTTCTGTATTTTACGTGGAGTCAGGGTCTCACCAAGTTGCCGAGTTTGGCCTCCAACTCGCGATCCTCCTGCCTCAGCCTCCCCAGCGGCTGGAATTCCAGGCAGGGGCCACCCAGGCCAGGAGCTGTCCCCCTTTTCTATATTCCCAGAAGAAGCCACCAGGGCCCCCGGGATTGGTTTTATAATTGAGCCCCGCGTCTTGGCCCAAGCCAGCCCCTCTGTCTGAGCCTTGCCATCTGGGGTCCCCTTTGTCCCGAGGTCTCCCTCCCCGGCTCAGGTTGTGGAGGACAGGCGGGGAGGCCCGGCCTGGCCCCATGCCCTTCAGCAGGCGGAGGCCGGCCTTCCCCCGGGCTCCCTCGGGGGCCTCCCGGGAGCCCGCACGTCTCATTAGTCTTTATTAGAATCAAAGCCACATGAGTCATGTTTCCACACAGCCCCCAATCTTCCTCGGCAGCTGTTGGAAGGAGGCGGAGGCCGGGGGAGAGGCCGGGGGAGGCTTGTGCGGCCCCGAGCGCGGGGCGGACGGGCCCTTTTATAATTGTCGCCCCGTGCCAGTCCCCAGGGGACAGCCGTGGCCAAGAAACAGCTGGCCTGCGGTCAAGAGGAAGCCATTGGTCCCACTCGAGGATGTATTGACATCTCTGGACGGTAGCCGGGAGCCCGGTCATTATTCCAGTTCTTGGATCCCACCCTGGAATGAATCCCGACTATTCTCGGATAATAATGTCGCGGACTCTGGGTCTCCTCCCTCGAGGCCAGAGAGTCAGGGAAGGCTGGCAGGCCCGGCTGATGGCCGCCGTAGGTCCCGCAGGGTGGCTGGACCCCAGGTGGGGGGAACACCAGGAAAAAGGACCCAGGTGTCCAGGGTTGATGTCTGTCTGGGGGATTTTAGGTGAATGGCTGAGCCTCAATTTTCCCATCAAGGAAATGGGTGTCATCTGTGCACTCCGCGCTCGTTGCATTAATTGAGCACCTGCTTTGTGCAAGGTGTTGTTGAATGATTGACAGGTGCTTCCTGGGAACACACATTGTCCAGGCAGTTGCAGTAGGTCGTCCCCAAGCTCTTTAAAACCTTTAGGTCTGCCAAGCAAGGTGGCATGTGCCTAGAATTTCACAGGCTCTGGAGGCTGAGGCAGGAGGATAACAAGTTGGAGGCCAGCCTCGGCCACTTGGCAAGGCTTGGTCTCTAAATAAAATATAAAAAGGGCCGGGAATGGGGCTCCGTGATCAAGTGGTCCTGGGTTCAATCCCTGGTACCCACCTCCTGGGGAAAAAGAACCCCTTTAGGTCTAAAGGTTTAGAGGACGGGGTGGTAGCCATGGGAGGCTGAGGGGCAGAGGCCAGAGGCAGCCTGGGTCCTGCTGGGATTCCCTCTGACTGAAGGGGCCAGAGTGGAGGCAGGGAGTCCAGTGAGGAGGCTGCTCAAAATCCTGTGGTGCATTGGGGACAGGATTGCTGTCAGTGTGGGTGTCTGGGGCAGTCAGAAGGTGCTTAGGGGACACTAGTGAGTGGCATCAATTTCTTTTTTTAATTTTTTGTTGGGGGGAGGGGACTGGGATTGAACCCAGGGTCACTTTACCACGGAGCCATGTCCCCAGCCCTTTTTATTTTTTTATCTTAGACACGGGGTCACCCTGAGTCACTTAGCATCTGGCTAAGTTGTTGAGGCTGGCCTTGACCCTGCGATCCTCCTGCCTCAGCCTCCCAACCCTCTGGGATGACAGGCGGGTGCCACCTTGTCCTTGGGATGTCCAGAGCCTGGTGGGCAAGGTGGACATTGTGCTGAAGGAAGAACAGAGGGACTGTACGGGGGGGGGGCCCAGAGAGGGGGCCCTGGCTGGCTTCAGAGAGGGCACAGAGGACAGAGGCTGGCGTGTGGAGGCAGGAAGGTGTCCCTCCCCTCTCAAGGATGCCGGGGGTCACTTCCCAGCAGGCCCTGGGCTCTCATTGAAGGCCCAGCAGCTGGACGCTCAGTGGGAAGGGCATTTTATTCTGTGGGGGGCTCCACAGCCCTGCCCTTGCCAGGGCCCCGGGAGGGGGTGCAACTGGTTGACAGCCTCAGGTCACCCTGAGGCCCCCAGTGACCCTGGCATGCAGCAGAGAAGTGAAGAAATCCTTTGGAAACTCCAGACTCCATGTCCTTTTACATTAACCGATGGTGGATGGTGTGGAGGAGCTGAGAACCTGACTTCACCCACCCGTCATCCCCGAGACAGGGGAGGCCGAGGCAGGAGGATCGCAAGTCGGAGGCCAGCCTCAGCCACGTAGGGAGACTCTGGGAAACTTTAGGGAGACCCTGTCCTAAAATATAAACAGGGCTGGGGAGGTGGTTAGGGGGTTAAGCACCCCTGGGTCCCATCTCTGGTGCGAGAGAGAGAGAGAGAGAGAGACAGAGAGCGAGCGCACGGCCCCTGGCAGGGGTGGGGGTGCTAGGGACAGGGACCTGACTTTGTAGCTGGACAGATCTGGGGTTGAGTGACCGCTCTTCCAGCTGCCTGAAGGCTTTGTGAACGTGCAGAAGTGGATTTTTCAGGCCTCAGTTTTCCTCATATGTAAAATGGGGCTGGATCAAATAAGATTTAAATAATTCTTTTTTTTTTTTTTTTTTTAACAAAAAGGGTCTTGGTAAGACACCGGCATCCTGGCAGCTTTATTATTATTTTGTTTTTTTTGGGGTGATCACACCCAGGGTGCACGGCCACTGAGCTACACCCCCCAGCCTTTCCTCTACTATTTTGAGACAGAACCTCATTAAGTTGCGGAGGCTGGCCTCCCCCTTGGGATCCTCCGCCCTCAGCCTCCAGAATGGCTGGGATTACAGGCGTGCACCCCCGCGCCCTGCAGGACCGGAGGAGCCCTTGGTTCTATTTTATAAAAGGTCAAACAAGGGACAAAGTCCCTCCACTCCTGGGGCTCAGAGCCTTCGGACAGAAGCTGGTGCTTTGGAAAGGAGAAGCAGCCTCTTCCGGGCCTGGCCCTCGCCCTGGAGGTGGGGACCGCGGAGACGAGGAGGCAGATTACCTGGGCACACGGTGGGCAGAGGCTGGGGGACCCCTCTTGATCACTGACCAGGCACTGCGCGCTTGGGGACAATGAGTGTCCTGTGGGTGCATCGTGTTTCCTGGACTTGGCCGAGGGTCAGCGCCTGGCCCCCGGTTCCTGATGGTATCTGGCCCCGCAGGGCGCGGAGCTGCGCGTGGGTCCTCACGCACCAGCGGACACGGCACAGCGCGGCCTTCAGCTCGGGCCTCGCGGACCTCCAGGGAGGACCTCCAGGGAGTGGAGGCTGCCTGAGACTGGGCAGGGGGCGGGGCTCTGGGCATCTAAAGGCCACCAGCGGTCACTGGTGGTGAGGGCCATGGAGTCACCTGCAAAGTGACTCTGCAAAGTCCTTCCAAAGCTTCTCCAAAGAGAGCCACAGAGAGGAGGCTCTGCCTCGAGGAGGCTCTGCCTGAAGGAGGCTCTGCCTCCGCGAGGCCGCACATTTTACGGAGATCCGGATAACAAGGGGGTGGGGCCCATAAAATAGGGAGGGACCAAAGGACATGGGGGGGCGGGGAGTATCTGCCTCACCTTAGGGACGGGAGGCTGGTCTGGGGAGGCCGGGTCACTTGTCCAACATCCTCCTGAGCAATGAAGCTAAGATTTTATTTTATTTTACTTTTGGTACCAGGGATTGAACCCGGGGTGCATCACCACCGAGCCCCGTCCCCAGCCCTTTTTACATTTTATTTAGAGACAGGGTCTCACTGAGTTGCTTAGGGCCTCACTAAGTGCTGAGGCTGGCCTCCACCTTGCGATCCTCCTGCCTCAGCCTCCCGAGCTGCCGGGATCACAGGCGGCCAGGTGAAGCTGAGTGTTTCACCGAGGTCCTGTCGAGAAGTCAGTACCCATTTGTCAGATGAGGAAACTGAGGCTCAGGGGTTTCCTGACCTGCCCCAAGCCAGGCCGGGTTGAACCTGGGTTTGCCTAAGGATTATGGACCCCAGGGCCCTTGACCCTCCTTCTGGCCCCTTCCGGACATCCCAACAACTCTGTCCCAGGGTCTGCACCCTGGCCCGGGCCTCGGGGATGCTAGACCCCGGGTTCCCGCTGACTCCCTGCTCTGTTTGCTCTAAGGCGCAACGTGCTGAGCTTGTCCTCGGGGATCGACGAGCCAGGCACCCTCAAGTGGGACCTGGCGCTGTGCCTCCTGTTGGTGTGGCTGGTCTGTTTCTTCTGCATCTGGAAGGGCGTCAGGTCCACGGGGAAGGTAAGTGGCCGTCCCGACCCTCCCTCTGGGCCTCTCTGACCTGGAAAGGAAAGAGGCCAGCGTGGCCTCGGGGTGAAGCCATCCCCTAGAAGAAGGAGATAAAGTCCAGTCTTAGGGTCTGGCTCCAAGTGGTCAGTGGTCTGGGGACCAGCCAGCAAGATCCCTGGAGGTGGGACGACGGGTCTCTCTGACTAACCCAACCGCGGCTGCTTCCCCATCTCAAGGTGTTAGCAGTAGACGCAGGTGTTGGCCGTAGATGCAGATGTCACCTGTAGATGCAGGTGTTGGAGGTAGATGCAGATGTCACCTGTAGACGCAGGTGTTGGAGGTAGATGCAGATGTTACCTGTAGATGCAGATGTTACCTGTAGATGCAGGTGTTGGAGGTAGATGCAGATGTTAGCAGTAGATGCAGGTGTTGCCTGTAGATGCAGATGTTACCTATAGATGCAGGTGTTACCTGTAGATGCAGGTGTTGGAGGTAGATGCAGATGTTAGCAGTAGATGCAGGTGTTGGCCATAGATGCAGATGTTACCTCTAGATGCAGGTGTTACCTGTAGATGCAGGTGTTAGCAGTTAATTAATATCAGAGCTGTAAGTAATATTAGCTGGGAACAGAGAAAAAGCCTCTCTGACAACTGTGTTATTTTAGTTTTATTTTTATTTCTTGTTACCGGGGATTGAACCCAGGGACGCTTCACCACTGAGCCCCCAGCCCCACCCCCTTTTTAATTTTTAAATTTAGAGACAGGGTCTCGCTGAGTTGCTTAGGGACTTGCTGAGTTGCTGAGGCTGGCTTGGAGCTCACGATCCTCCTGCCTCGGCCTCCCGAGGTGCAGGGATGACAGGCGTGGGCCACGGCGCCCTGCAACAGCTCTGTTCCTCATAACCAGCTCTCGGTGGACAGGTTGAGACGCTTTTGACCTGACTGGCAGCATCAGGGGTCCCCAGGAGTTCGGAGGAGATGGAGGGCTGGGGACCTGCCCCAGACCTACAGGGTCAGGGGCCACCCTGCAGCGTCACCCCGGATTTGGATGCAAATGCACGGTTTGGTCCGAGAAGCCCTGGGTTCCTGTGCTCCCCCCCAACGTAAAGGAGGAGAGGTCCAACTTGGCTCAGAATTTCCAGGTGGTGGTGACTGGGGCTGGTGGCGAGGCACGTCATGGTGGGGGTGGTGGAGGAGGCCAGATACCTCACGGCAGTCAGGGAGCAGAGAGTCAGAGAGGAAGAGCTGGGGTTCCTAGAGTCCCCAAGAGCACACGCCCAGTGACCTGCCATCTCCCACTAGGCCCTACTTCTAAGGGTAGTGCCCCAGGCTGGGGACCAAGCCTCTGATAAGGTCTTTTGCAGACCTATTTCTCTCTCTGTCTTTCCTTTTGGTACCAGGGATGGAACCCAGGGCTGCTCAACCCCTGAGCCCCTGTCCCCAGTCCTTTTTATATTTTATTTAGAGACAGGGTCTCACTGAGTTGCTCAGGGCCTTGCTAAATGGCCGAGGCTGGCCTCCACCTTGTGATCCTCCTGCCTTGGCCTCCCGAGGCAAGGTTCAACAAGGAGGTGACTTGGAGACCAAAGGGGAAAATTCCCAGGGAGACAGGACTAGCCCGTGCAAAGGCCCTGTGGTAGGTCCCGTCCAGGCCGATGGAGGAGGCTGGCGTCCACCAGACACGTGAGACAAAGGGCAACACGCAGAGTAGAATGGACGCCAAACCAGTGGGTGCCAGGTCACAGCCGTGGCCGTGCGGAGACGTGACTTACCCGAGGTCTCCCCCCACCCCACCCTCAGCCTCGGCCTCCTCTGGGGGTGGGCGCGGTTCCCAGAACAATGGCAGGGCCTGGGTCAGCCCAGAGCAGCCAAGACAAACAGCTCTGGGGACTTCCTGGAGCTCAGTGGCCCAGAGGACGCCCGCCCGCCCGCCCGCTGGCCGGCCGGCCATGGCTCCCAGCCCTGGCCAGAGACCAAGTCATGGTCACTGCCCTGGGGGCTGGGCCCACAGGCAGCCGACGGGTCTCTTCCTGGCCAAGCCCGCCTTCACGGTGACCCGGGTCCCTGGGGAAGGGACAGGGAGGTAGATGGCAGGAGAGACCCAGACCCGGGAGGCTCAGGCCTCAGCTCAAGTCACTTACTTACTTTCTGTTTTTTGGGGGGGTTGGGGGGTCACCAGGGATTGAACTCAGGGGCCCTTGACCCCTGAGTCCCCTCCCCAGCCCAGTTTTGCATTTTATTGAGAGACAGGGCCTCCCTGAGTTGCTCAGGGCCTCACTTTGGCTGAGGCTGGCCTCCAACTTTTGATCCTCCTGCCTCAGCCTCCCCAGCCGCTGAGATGACAGGTGTGAGCCACCACCGCGCCCGGCTGGCCCTTTCTATTCTTATGATTCTCACGACTCCAAGGGTCTGAGATACCCCAGAAGAGGCCGTGGCCTACGTCATTCAACAGCTAGTGATTGTTGTCACGGATGCCCCAAAGCACACGTGGACCTCCTTAGCTCGGATAATCCTCCCGATGTGCAGGGCGTTAGTAGCCCCATTTTTATCCATGAGGAATCGGAGAGTCCAGAGAGGTTAATATACTTGCCCAATGTCACACAGCTTGTCAGTGGCCAATAAATAGGGTTCAAGCTGGGCATGTCCCTGCCGGGGAACAGGGAAAAGCCGTCCCTCTGAGTCCCCAGGGCTGTGGGGCCGAGGGCTCTCAGGGGCACCAGGGAGTTTCACCAGGCAGAGCGGAAAAGTACCGCGTCCTGCCACGCGTCCTGCCGGGCCACCGCCAGAGGCCCCCGCGGGTGGCGTCTGGCACCAGCTTCTCCCTCGAGGGTCCCCGGGGGAGTCACGGAAATATTGAGACACTCTCAGGGGCTCATCCTTGGAGCAAAATCTGGAAAACAAGCAAGCAAGACTCTCTTTACAGGCACCTAAGCCGTGTGGCCACGCCGGGTTCTGGGGGTGAATAGCAACCACACCCCACCCCCCCAAAGATGCAGAGACCCTGGGAGTCTTTGACCTAAGTCAAATCCCACCACCTCCAACGCTGGGCACAGTGGCTCATGTCTGGAATTCCATCGTCTCTGGAGGCTGAGGCAGGAGGACCGGGAGTTTGGAGGCCAGCCTCCACCATTTACTGAGACCCAAAGAAAGACCCCACCTCTGACACCTGCTGACTCAGGGCCCCATGAGGGACACCTGAGCTCTCTGTTCCCATCTTTCTCATCTAGAAGATGCAGGTAGCAAGGTCCCCAGCTCTTGCCAAACCTGCTTTGGGAGTTAAATGAGTTAATAGGTACAAACCGTGAAATCCCCCCAACAAGGGAAATGGCCCCCCACGACACTGGCTCTGGGCACAGCCCGCGGCCGCTTTGAAGTGGGAGCCCCCGGGGGGGACCCCGCGGAGCTGCTGTCTGCGGCTATTGTTCACCCACTGGGGTGTGGCCCACCCAGGGGCCCCCCCAGAGGTGGGAGCTGGCCAGGGGCTCCTGACCGTCTGTCTACAGGAAGGGAGGGACAGACGGGCTGACTTTCTTGACTCTTCTGGGGCTTCCTGGCCCGCCCTCCCCCTCCGTTCTTGGAAAGTTATGAGGATTTTAGCCTCAAAGAAAATAAATAAAGGTCAGGGGGTGGGGGAGGGGGGAGGGGGATGGGTCCTGAGGCCCTGGAAGAAGAAAGAGATTCAGGGACCCGGTGGCAGAGTTGGCCCTGGGGACTGAACCCAGGGGGGACCTCACCACGGAGCCCCGTCCCCAGCCCCTTTTTTAAATTTTTTTAATTGAGAGACAAGTTGTGGAGGCTGGCCTCCAACTCCCGATCCTCCTGCCTCAGCCTCCCCAGCTGCTGGGATGACAGGCGTGTACCACCACCGTGCCCGGCTCGAATTCTCCCTCTGTGTGTGGCAGAGAGGAATTTGTGCTCTCTGTTGTCCCCCACCATATTCTGGACTTAGACCAGAATAATAATCGTATAATGCTTAGGTTTTAGTTGAAGCGACAGGTTCAGAGAAGTTAAGCAACTCGTCCAAGGTCACACAGCACGTGAGATTGCACAGCCTGGCTCTAGTAGAAGTCTCTGCTTTCCTGTTTCTTCCTTCCTCTTGGAGAGGGGAGGACGGTGCGGGGTGCTCACGGCCCTGTGGTCCCCCCTCGCAGGTTGTCTACTTCACCGCGACCTTCCCCTTCGCCATGCTATTGGTGCTGCTGGTCCGCGGGCTGACCCTGCCCGGTGCCGGGGAGGGCATCAAGTTCTACCTGTACCCCGATATAACCCGCCTGGAGGATCCGCAGGTAACGCAGGGCCGACGGGCTGTCCCCTCCCTCCTGCCCGGGGTTAGGGTCTTTTCTCCAGGGCTCTGGGGCGGGGGCTGACCTCTGGCCGGGTGTCCCCCACCGCCTCTGGGGCGCTGTGCACAGGGTGCATTGCCTGGGGCCTCTCTGATCCTGCCCAGGACCCCCCCCCCAGGAGGCCAGTTCTAGAGTCTGCCTTGGGCACTGGGCCAGGAAAGGGACAGATCTTAGCAGTGCTGGCCCTGGGGGTGGGGGGGACTGGGCTTCTGCCCCAGGGCTGGGGCTGCTGCAGGCCACCCTGGGTGACCACAAACCTCAGAGTTAATGGCTTCCTGGGAGGTCGAGGGGCAGATCCTGAGAGCCACCCCCCGGGGTGCCCAGCCTCGGGACCTCAGGGAGGAGGAGGCTTGTGGGCTCAGTGGTCGACCTTTTGTCCCCAGAGCTCAGCTCTCTGGTCACCTTACTGGGGGTCAGGTCTCTTCTCCTCAGCTCTGGGAGGGAGGCGGGGAGTTGGCCAGGTTCCAAGGACAGTGAGAAGGTGGTGCTTGTTGAAGGTTCTGGAAAACGGCTTTGCCTGTGATCCATTAACGATCACCGTCACCGTGGGAGCCGCGGGGACCCGCGGGTTAACCACGCCTCCGACACTGACCTGTTCTTTATCATTATTATTATTTGCTCCTGGGGATGGAAACACTTGACCACTCGGCCCTTTTTAAAAATTATTTATTTTTATTTGAGGACCCGTCTTGCTTAAGTTGCTTAAAAGGCTGAGGCCGGCCTCCAACTTTCAATCCTCCTGCCTCAGCCTCCCCACCCCCCAGCTCATCTGTATACCTCAAAGTCCCCTCTGAGGCTCATCACCTGGTGGCCAGGCACCTGCCCCTTCTCCTCCAGGCCACCGATGACTGACAGCCCCTTCTCTCTCTCTCTTTCCCTGCCACCTCCTGTCACCCTTCCAAGGTGTGGATCGACGCTGGGACCCAAATCTTCTTCTCCTATGCCATCTGCCTGGGGGCGATGACCTCCCTGGGGAGCTACAACAAGTACAAGTACAACTCGTACAGGCAAGTGTCACGCCGGCGGGCCTGGTGGACCCTAGAAATGATGATGTTTAAAAGAAAAGAAAAGAAAAAAAATAAACGAGTAGGAAGCTTGGCTTCCATGTGTCGTGAATTAACTTGCTCCCTGACATATGTGTAACTTAGGGACTGTATGCTGCTGGGATGCCTGAACAGTGGTACCAGTTTTGTGTCTGGCTTCGCAATTTTTTCCATCCTGGGCTTCATGGCACAAGAGCAAGGGGTGGACATTGCTGATGTGGCTGAGTCAGGTACGGTAGCCTTGGTGGCAGTGGTGGTGGGCACTGCCACCTAGTGTTTAAGCCGAGTACTGCAGGCATGAAGCCAGACCCCCCCCCCCGGGGGGGGGGGGGGGGGAATGAGCCTGATTTCCAAAAAAGACCCCCCCCCCCCCCAACCAAGAAGTCCCCCCACGGATTGTCACAGAGCCCAGGAGCGGCCTTGGAAAATCAAAATTGTCATTGCAACTGGCCCGAGGGGGGCGGCGGCAGGAATGCGATGGGGAGGCGGTGACATTGGGGACTGCGACGTGGTGTGTCCGCCCTTTTGCAGCCCATTCCCGGTTTCAGGGACAGAAACCACCCCGTCGCCATGGCATCATGGCATCGCCACCTTCCCCCCCTCCTGGGTGTCGGTGTTTGGCCCTTTGCTCTCAGTGCGCATGCGCTCCCTCCCGGGTCAATCTGTCAATCAAATCCCCAGTTCCCTCCGTCAATCAAATTCCCCGGGGCCAATCAAATCCCCGGGGGGCCGTCAGGGCGGGGCCAGAGGGAGTGGAAGGCGCCCCTCCCAGGCCGTGGGAAGGTGGGAAGCGCAGTGTCCCCCGCCTCCTGGGGACACTTGGAGTCACAGACGATGCATGCTCCGTGTCCGAACCCTGAGCCCTCTGTTGGGTCGGGGACCTGGGGGACCTGGAACCCTGTCATGTCGCCTGGCAATGGTGGGCTCTTCCGTGGCCCCAACTGTAGACCCTCAAGCCCAGTCTCTAGGGACCTGGGTTCCAGGACGCGGTCACAGCTCTGATGTCCCGGGCTTGAGACTTTCAGACGACAGTGGCTTTAGATGATAAGGCTCCCCCCGAGGTCCCCAAACTCTTCTTTTCCTGGCTTCTTGGGCCCTTCTCGGTCCTGCCCGGGTCCCTCAGGAGGGTCCTTGTCCCTTGTCTGGAAGGGTGGGGGGGGTTGTCACCGCTGAGACCCCCACCTGACTTCCTGATGTCTCTCACAACCGCCCTGGGGTCGCCTGGACCCAGGTGAGGGTCCTGGGCTAAGGTCCCTTTGGAGCATACAGGGGCAGACCAGGGGCAGGCTGTTCTCTTGACCTTGCCCTTGCCCTTGACCTCCTCCAACCTCATGCAATTGAAATGCAAGGCGGTGTCCCCGATCCGGGGCCCCAGGGGGCACTTTGGCATTGAACATCCGGGCATTTCCGAGGTGGAGGCCAGCGGTCACTCTGGGGGGTGAGAGCCAGAACAGGGGTCTCCTGGCCCCCCTCACCCTGTCCCTCCATACCCCCAGGCTCCACCTGCTGGACAAACCCCCCCCACACCGTGTCCCTCTTCTGCCCCCCCATCGGGGCCTGGGACACCTGTGACAATCTCTGGCCTTTCAGGTGTGAGCATTTGCCTGGGCTCCTCCGACCTCCTGGCGTCCCCTGTCCCCTGTCCCCTGTCCCCTGCCAGGTCTCATCCTTGGGACACCCCCGTCCCCTCCCAAAGCTACAGAACTACCTGGAAAATCCAGCTCCCGGCCCCTACACGCCTCTCTTTCCCTCCTTCCAAATCAGACCTTCAGAGACAGTCCCCAGAGACAGACCAAGGACACCCAAAATGATTCTAGAAATTTCCATGGCCATTATTTGGGAGTGTTGAGGGGGACCCAGGGAACCCTGTTCCCCCCCCTTTGCCCATAGATGGTGGGGACTTCTGCAAAGTCCTGTGGGTGGATTGGACATGGCCCAGGGCAGGGCCTGGATCTTGGTGTGGTGGAAGTCACAGAGAAGTGTCTGATCCAGAACTTTCTCTGTGGACAGTCGGGCGCTTTTGCATACCCGTCTCTGGGCAACCTGAGCCGTTTCCGAACTCTCCACTGTGTCCACTTCAAACATCTTGTCATTCATGCCCCGTGGGGATGGCCAGGAGCCGCCGGTAACCTCTAGAGCGATTATTTCTCTAATGAGCTTTTAACGAGCACCATATTGAGCCAAAGTGTATTTAGATGAGATAATTAAGTAGCCAGATGGGAGCGCTGGGCGGGGACACAGCCTGGCTTGGGAGGGGACTTCCCTGCCCCCCAGGTTCACCATCAGCTCTTAGAGAAAGACTTGGGGACCCTCTCCCAGAGCCTGGCTTGAGAAAAGCAGAATTAAAATCCAGACACAGAGAAAAACTGAGCACCTTTTGGGAGGCCCTGGCAGGAGGCTGGGGAGGGAGTCCCATTTTACATCTTCTCACGGTTGACTTGACCAAATTCCTCTTTTTTTTTGGTACCAGGGATTGGATCCAGGGGTGCCTCATCACGGAGTCCCCTCCCCAGCCCTTTTTTATATTTTATTTAGTGACACAATCTCACTGAGTTGCTAAGTCGCTGAGGCTGGCCTCTAATTTGAGATCCTCCTGCCTCAGCCTCCCGAGCCACTGGGATTGCAGGCGTGCGCCACTGTCCCCGGCCCAACTCCTCACTCTTGATGTGAACCAGTCAGGACCACTGCTGTGGCATTAGGGGGGACCATGGTGCTCCCCTCCTCTGGCCTCCTTGATGGACCCGGCTGCAGATGCCCTATTTTAACCCTGACCTCGATTCCAAACTTGTCCTGGGCGGGAAGCCTATTTTTTTCTGAATCCAGTTCTCAGCCGTCCACACTCTGGTCCATTCAAGTAGCCTTTTGGCTTGAAAGGAGCCCCTTAGGCCACTTAGGGTCACCCTAAGCAACCACTGCTCAAGGCCAAAGCCATTATTTGGGTCTGGTTTCTCTGGCTGAGTAGACTCCTCCTTCTGAAGAGACCCGCCCTCCTCTGCCACCTTTGGGGTGGTTAACACTGCAGTGGGGACTTTCTTTGGTACCAGGCATTGAACCCAGGGGCCCTCGACCACTGAGCCCCGTCCCCAGCCCTATTTTGCGTTTTATTCAGAGACAGGGTCTCCCTGAGTGGCTCAGGGCCTCGCTTTGGCTGAGGCTGGCTTGGAACTGGAGATCCTCCTGCCTCAGCCTCCCGGGGGATGACTGTCGTGTGCCCCGCTCCCGGCCCTCCCATCCTCAAAGTATTCATCTGGTGCATAATGTCTGCTTTAAAAACCACTCCTTGCCCCCTTTCAGAGGCAGGAGGAGGAGACCTTTCTATTTCCAGAATAATTCCAGCCACACGCTGACCGGGGAGCTGACCACACTCCTGTGCCCACCCCCTGCAGCCAAATCCACTCATTTGAAACCGAGAGCTCTTTATTTGTGTGTGTGTGGGGGGACATGGTCTCTGCCTCAGAGCATCTGGACAGACGCCCCTGGGGTGACCCTCCGAGTTCCTGGGGGGAGATACAGACAGGAAGTGCTGGGCGTCTGAATGTGGCCATCTGTCTCCCGGGCCTGAGGGGCCTGTCCCCGTGGGGCTGGGCCCTGGGTGGCCCGGCGTGCCTCGCGGCAGTGCACAGAGAGGTGTAGAGACCTTCCTTTTGCAAACCAGGAGGCCTCTAGTGGTCAGACCACCGGGACTTTCCAGCCCAGGTGGCCGGGGAGAGGCGGCGGGGTCCTCCCCCACTTCTCCTGACTCCCTGGGCCTCCAACCCTGCTCCCCGGCAACCCCGAGTCCGCACAGTTCTGGGTCTCTGTGGAGGCCCCTCTTGGAGGCCAATCTTGGAGGCCCCTTTTGGAGGCCCATCTTGGAGGCCAATCTTGGAGGCCCCTCTTGCTGCATAAGAGACAGATGCCCCGGCGCGTCCCCCCCCACCCCAAGCGAGACAGGCCTGGTGTCTCTCCCCAGGTGACAGACCCGGCTCCTCCCCGTGTCTTGGGTTTGGGTGGCCCACCTCAGATCCGAGAGTCTTTGCGGTGAGGCCCGGGGTGCCGAGCGGCCTGGTCACTGACGTGTCCCCTTCCTTGTGTCCCCCCCTCCCCGTTTTCTCTCTCCCTCGTAGGTCCTGGCTTGGCCTTCATTGCGTACCCCAAAGCTGTCACCATGATGCCGCTCCCCACCTTTTGGTCCATTCTTTTCTTTATTATGCTTCTCTTGCTGGGACTGGATAGTCAGGTACGTGGCCACCGGGGTGGGATTGTCCCCTGGGGTGGGGACCTGATTGGCGGCCTTCAGGGGATATTTCCAGTTGGTTTCAGCCCCCCCCCGCCCCGGGTCTGAGCAGGGAGCGGCTGAACGTGCCTGTCCTCCCAGGGGGGCTGGGGAGGCCCAGGCAGGAGGATCGCAAAGTGGAGGCCAGCCTCAGCCACCGCAAGGCCCTAAGCCGCTCAGGGAGACCCTGTCTCTAAATAAAACACAAAACAGGGCTGGGGACCGGGCTCCGTGGCTGAGTGACCCCGAGTTCAATCTCGGGGTCCCCAAAATTAAGAAACGGAACACAGCAGAGGCTTTGGCAGACAGGGGACCCGGATTAGCGGGAAAGACAGGAGGAGGACACTTGGGACACTAAAAGCAAAATCCATGTCCCGTCTTGGCTGATGGACTCAGCTGGGTCAGCAAGTGGGGACGTCATTAATCATTCCTGGTTCATGGGTTTGGCCTTTGGAGGCCCCAGGCACGAAGCTTCTAGAACCTCTGCCAGAGGTCCGCTCGCGGGCGGGGACAGAGCCAAACACAGAGGTTAATGACCGACGAGGCGTGACATCCCCACGGGCCCTAAGGAGGCCACCCGGGCTTTGGAGGAACTGCTTCCTGGGACAGAGGAGACCTCGGTTAATCATTAGATTTTTTTCCTCCCTCAGGGACACGGGGACACGGGTGGGGACAGGCCCCTCTTCAGAAGGCCCCAGGTCCGCAGATGACTTTAAGGATCTCAGGAAGCTCTCAAAGCCAGCCCCGGGGAGGGCGGTCACTCCTTACCCCGTCTGTGCAGAGCGTGGGACTCGAGGCTCGGTGCTCAGATGGCCTGTCACTCAGACACAGGGGACAGGTGGTGTTGAGCCCAAGTCCCCGGATCCCCAGCCCCCCCCCCCCCCCGGGGGGACTGAGCAAGAGAAGCCACGTTAGGCCCGGGTCCTTTCTCTGCATCTGATGGCCGTGGGAACCTGGGGACGTGGGGAAGGGGGAGGTTTGGCAGAGGCCAGCCATGTCAGCCCTGGGAGGGGGGACACAGGTTCTCCCTGAAATTTAGATGCCTCTGCGGGTCCTTTAATCCCCAAATTGCCCTTCTGAGACCTTGCCACAGGACATTTGAGTCTGAGGACAGATGGGGAGAGGAAGTGTCACTGTCTGGGGGAGTAGGAGCAGAAACCTGGAAACCGTCAGTTGGGGACTTGGGTTAGATCAATGATGATCTATGTCCAGGAGGTGGAGTTTAATGTCACCATTTCAAAAATGAGGCAGTTCCTCTGCGCAGTCTCCATGACAAATTGTTCTGCACGGAGACAGAGAGAGGGAGACTGGCTCCGGAATGTCACCGAGGGAGGGTGCCTCTCAAGTCACCTTTGCTACCTTTGGGAGCCCGGGGTGGATTCCTGGAGCGTCGTGTCGCTCACACACCTGGGTGTGCGGATCCACCGGGATGGACTTCCATTCCCCCCGGGGGGACATCGAGCCCCGATATGCCCCCAGCCACCCAGCAAGTGAGCGCTGAGCTCCACGTTTCGGTCACACGTTGGCTAAGGGGCCCCCTGCGTGTGGCACACTGGGTGCGCCGTGTGGGGACCCTGTGGCCCGACCCCACACGGCCCAGGGTTCCCTGCTCAGAAGGCCCCTGGACCTGACCCCCCCCCGGCTGTCTCTGGTCACAAGGGTGGTCCTTCTGCCCCTCGTCCCCTCGCACGCGTCGGGCTGTCCTGTGGGCACACCTAACGGCTGCTCCTGTCCCCGCAGTTTGTCGAAGTCGAAGGACAGATCACGTCCTTGGTGGACCTCTACCCGTCCTTCCTAAGGAAGGGTTATCGCCGGGAGATCTTCATCGCCATCGTGTGTGGCATCAGCTACCTGCTGGGGCTGACGATGGTGACGGAGGTAGGTGACAAGAGGGCGACGGAGGGAGGTGACAGTGAGGGCGACGGAGGGAGGTGACAATGAGAGTGGCGATGGCGAAGGAGGTAGGTGGATGGAGGTAGGTGACAGTGAGGGTGGCGATGGTGACAGAGGTAGGTGACAATGAGGGTGACAGTGAGGGTGGCAATGGTGACAGAGGTAGGTGACAATGAGGGTGACAATGATGATGAAGGTGGGTGACAATGATGGTGACACTGATGACAGGGGTAGATGACAATGAGGGTGACAATGGTGATGGAGGTGGGTGACAGTGATGGTGACAATGAGGGTGACAATGACAATGGAAGTGGGTGACAATGATGGTGACAATGGTGACAGAGGTCGGTGACAATGAGGGTGACAATGGTGACAGGTGGGTGACAATGGTGGTGATGATGTGACAGGTGACAATGAGGGTGACGATGGTGACAGATGTAGGTGACAATGAGGGTGACAATGGTGAACAGAGGTGGGTGACAGTGATGGTGACAATGGTGACAGAGGTGACAATGAGGGTGATGATGGTGATGGAAATGGGTGACAATGATGGTGACAGAGGTAGGTGACAATGATGTGACAAGGGTGACAGAGGTAGGTGACAATGAGGGTGACGATGATGATGGAGGTGGGTGACAATGAGGGTGGCAGGTAGGTGACAATAATGGTGACAGGTGACAATGACAGTGACAATGGGGATGGTGGTGCCTGGCCCTCCCTGTGTGGCACGAGGGACTCCCCTTGTCCCTGTGGAAGGTGGGGTACGCTGACTGCCCCTGGCCACGGCCACACATGGGCAGGGCTGGGCAGGGCCGGGCTCCCCCACATGGTGTGGACCTTGGTCTCTGCCCAGGACCCTGAGCCACAAGGGGCAGCACGGGGGACTCAGGACCCAGCAGTTGACCCAGACTTTTTTTGGGGGGTGGGTTCTCAAAAGACCTTGCCTTTTTATTTTTTTTAACCCGTTGTCACGGTCACGCTGTGACCATCCGCTGCCCCGGGTCCCTCCCTGGCCTGGGAGGTCTGATGAAGGGGAGCGTCCACCGAGATCCCTTTAACCACAGCTCTGCTCCGCCCTTCTCCACCTCGACGGGAGGTGGACACACTCTGAGGGTCCCCGCTGACCCCCCAGTCAAGGCTGCCGGACACGTGTGGCCGATCAGGGCTGAGTCTGGGGGACGTGTGGGTTTCTGGCTGACGGGGGCAGATACACGGTTCAGAGAGTGGCCAGGGGCCAGGAGGGGGCTCAACTTAAAATAGGTTTAAGGGCTGGCGCACGTAACCCAGGAGGCTGAGGCAGGAGGATCCCAAGTTGGAGGCCAGCCTCAGCAACTTAGCAAGACCCTGTCTATAAATAAAAAACTAAAAAGGGCTGGGGACAGGGGCTCAGTGGGTCCAATCCCTGGAACCAAAAATAAATAAAATTAAAAGAGGAGAGAGCCCAAGAGGTGACAGGAGCAGGTGTGTCACCGTGCCTCAGCACCTCTAGCAAGAGGAAAGCCAGAGAGACAATGCGCTCAGCCAACACAAGCCCAGCATCACCCCGGGCCTGCCCTCCTGCGTCCCTCCTCAAGCTGGTGGGACTGGAGTCCTGTGTGTTAACTGCACTTGGTTCAGAAGCCATTATTTTGGCCCATTATTTTGCTACGACAACGTTGTTTGTCTACTTTCCGTCTCTGTGTGTCCGAGTTAAAGAAAGTTCAAACTTCAAACCGTGAAGCTGGACGTCTTTTTATACACATTAACCCGGTCATCCTGTGTCACCCATTATTTTTCTTTGGGAGTATTTTTTTGTTGTTATTGATTTGCCAGAGCTCTTTGTATATGAAGGGAATTAGAACCCAAACAAGAACTCAACCTCGAATGTGTTGTTCTTTTTTTCCTTACAGGGTGGCATGTATGTGTTTCAACTCTTTGACTACTATGCAGCTAGTGGTGTATGCCTTCTGTGGGTTGCATTCTTTGAATGTGTTGTTATTGCCTGGATATTTGGTGAGTAGAGATTCCGGCATATTCTTCCCTAAGCCTCTCCTTTGGGCCTCTCTACGCGGGGAAGCTTCAGGAGCAGTGAGATTAACAGAAAGGCCTCCTCTTCCCGGCCTCTCCTCTCCCAGGCGCCCCTCTTTCTCTGTCCAACTTAATACCATTTATCCAGATAACGGTCCAGATAATCCCCGTGCTGTGAGGGTTCAAGGTACAGATCTCCGTTTGGACTTCCCCAGCCGGGGACGCCCTTCCTGTTCCCTCTGCCCAACAAACTCCTATTCACCCCTCAAAACCCCCCTCCGGGAACCCTCCTAGAGAAGTTCCTGCTTTCGTGGTGTGAGGGTCAGTGTCCAGTGACTTGCTCCAGGGTCTAGTGGACAGGCAGAGGCCTGGATTGGATTCCAGAGACCCGGTCATGGTTCCTTGAGCCCCCTGCCACAGCATTCCCCGGGGCAGAATGTCACATGTCACCAGCGTGTCACACCACGGTCACCGTGCTATGTCACCCAGTATGACTGTCTTTTGCAGGTGGTGACAACTTTTATGATGGTATTGAGGACATGATCGGCTATCGGCCTGGGCCCTGGATGAAGTACAGCTGGACTGTCATCACCCCGGTTCTCTGTGTTGTGAGTACAGCCCCGTCTTGGCTCTGGGGGGTGTTGGGGACATCTCTGCGTCTCTGGGGTCGTCCCTTCAGCTTCTGGGACAGAGGCCGCTCTAGAAGGGTTCCCAGAGATGGGTTTTGAGGGATGAATAGGAGTTTGTTGGGCAGAGGGGACAGGAAGGGCGTCCCCGGCCAAGGAAGCCACCTGTGTTCTGAAAGGGTCGGGTGCAGCCAGGGTGGGTGGAGGTGACAGCGGAGGACCAAGCTCCCCTCGGACTCTCCCAGAGCTTGTGAGCTCGCTGAGGTGAAGGTCCAGTGGTAGGCTTTGGAGTTTCCATGGACACTGGACATGTTGTTTCCATGGTGGGATGAGGATGGTGGCTTCGAGAGAGGACGTCCTCTCAGAGGAATGTTCTGGGCTCTCCCAAGGTTGAGGAGGCCTCATAGCCCCTCAGGACGTGGGGACAGTGGTGGCCCACCTTGCCCTTCCTGGGGCCGCCATCTTGGAAGGGGCCGCCATCTTGGAAGGGGCCGCCATCTTGGAAGGGGCCTTGGTCCATTCCCATGAGTTCTGCCTCAGAGGTTGTCCTCGCTGCAATCTGGAAATCCTCAGGAGGGAAGGCTGCTGACCTGTCCCTGTCTGAAGTCACCAGTGACCTGGGGAACATCTCCATGGCCACTCTTGCCCTTCCTGGGGGGGCCGCCATCTTGGAAGTGGCCGCCATCTTGGAGGTGGCGGCCATCTTGGAGGTGGCGGCCATCTTGGAAGTGGCCGCCATCTTGGAAGTGGCCGCCATCTTGGAAGTGGCCGCTGTCTGGAGAACCAAGGGCCCTCTTCTTCCAGGCCACGCAGGGTCAGCACTGCTGTTAGCTTGTTGCGTGACCAAAAGCAGCCAGGTCCCTCTGTGGGCCTCAGTTTCCCCACCTCTGGAACAAGGTCACTCTGAAGTGGTTCTGGTGGGAGCTGACAACTTTATTACCATTATCATTTAATATGATGGGGTCCCCCCACCCCCCAATTTTTCTCCCCAGAAAAATAAGAAACCATAGCAACCATGGATCACAGCTGAGTTAACCCCCGTCAGAGAGGCGTTGGGTCCATCTCGGTGCATGTTCTTGTCCCCACTGAATGCTTATTCATGGCCAGTGCCTGACACTCTGACCCTCAGATTCTTTTTATTTTGTTGTTGGTACCAGGAATTGAACTCAGGGGCCCTTGACCCCTGAGCCCCGTCCCCAGCCCTATTTTGCATTTTATTTAGAGACAGGGTCTCCCTGAATTGCTTAGGGCCTCACTAAGATGCTGAGGCTGGCCTCCAACTTGTGATCCTCCTGCCTCAGCCTCCAGAGCCACTGGGATGACAAGCGTGCACCACTGCGCCCAGCCTGACCCTCAGTTTCTTCATCCCTCGCTCCCTGAGGTTGGATAGGCTGCACTTGGTGGTGGTAGTGGGATGGTGTCACCCTCGGGGAGGTGACTTGGTCAGATTGGCACAGGAAGGAGATTCTCAGGGCAGCAGAGGGTTCTGCCCCCTTGGAGAGAGACCGTCCCCTCAGGTTGAGCCCCGTCCTGGTCCCAGAAGCCCCTGCACCTCTGGGCGGCCCAGGACCCCCCTCTGACCGCCCCCTTCTCTCTCTGTAGGGATGTTTTGTCTTTTCTCTCGCCAAGTATGTGCCCCTGACCTACAACAAGGTCTACGTGTACCCAAACTGGGCCATCGGGTTTGGCTGGGGCCTGGCCCTGTCGTCCATGATGTGCATCCCGTTGGTCATCCTGATTCGCCTCTGCCAGACGGAGGGGCCGTTCCTCGTGGTGAGTGCTGCAGTGGGAGAAGCGGGAGGCCGAGGCCGGCCGGCTGGCTCTTTGCTGTGTGACCTTAAGCAAGACGGTAGCCCTCTCTGAGTCCTAGACCCTTCCCTGGATGGGGGTGTGGGCAGAGTGCATTGTGGGAAAAGAGGCACAGAGCCCCGTTGGTGCAGAGGGGGAGGGCTTTGTGGTCCTGGTCAGGGCAGGTCTGGGGGCTGGGGAAGAAGGTTCCAGAATGTGAGAGTCAAGGACAGAATATTCTGGAGAAAGGAGCCGAGTTCCCCCCAGACACCTCTCCTTACCCTGGGGCCCAGTGGAGGCCCAGCCTGGGGACCCCAGAAGCCACTTCTGCCCGAGTCTCAGCTCGGTTGGTGGCAGACTGTGTGTCTGCCCGTGTCCCCCGGGGGGTCCCCTTCCTTCCCCAGCCTCCTCTCGACCTCCCTCCCACAATACGGAGGCCCCGGGGCGGGTCGGGGCTGGCAGAGGCCGAGGCTCTTTCCAAGAAATTCCTTTCTCAGAATCTGGAGCCTCTGGGCTTGGGTGGGCGCCAGGACGGGGTTTTGTTCTGAGCTGGGCTTTTTTAAAAAAAATTTTATTGTTTTTCTCTTTTCAAAATCTGGAGCCAGGATGTCCTGGGGCCCTGCTCCCCCCCTGGGCTGGCTCGAGCTTCCTCCTGGGCTGGAAGGGGAAAGGTTGAGAGTTGTTCAGGGGAGAGGGGAGAAGAAGGAGCCCCGGGGTCAGGGGGGACCAGGGAGCCAGGCAGACCCCCCCCCCAGGTCTTTATCAGACGTAGGACAGGACCCCAATATCCAGCCAGAATCCTGAAAGTCCTGTCAGTTCTTAAGATAGTATAATCTCGAGGCTCGGGAGGCTGAGGCCGGAGGATGGCAAGTTGGAGGCCAGCCTCAGCCACTTAGCGAGGCCCTGAGCCACTCAGGGAGACCCTGTCTCTCAATAAAACACAAAATAGGGCTGGGGACGGGGCTCCGTGGCCGAGTGCCCCCGAGTTCAATCTCTGGTACCAAAAATAAAACAGAAAAAGGGCTGGGGACGGGGCTCAGGGGTTAAGTGCCCCTGGGTTCAATCCCAGGTACCAAAAAACAAATAAAATAGCAAAATCTGAAATCCTGGGCCTGGGGACAAACAGGGGACACCTGCTCCTCTGAGCACTCCCAAGTGGCTCCCCCTCATCCCCAGAAACATGAGCCAAAGTCCAATCAGGGAGCAAGAACCTTCCATCCACTCCAGGAGAACCCCCCCAAACCAGAGAGGGTGATAACTGTCCCAACGCCACACAGCACACACAAGAAATGTCAGGAGGGGAGGCCGAGGGGGATGGGGACCTGGAATCTGAGCCCTCGGGTCTTCCTTCTGCAGAGAGTCAAGTACCTCCTGACCCCGAGGGAACCCAACCGCTGGGCTGTGGAGTGTGAAGGGGCCACTCCCTACAGCTCCCGCATCACGCTGAACGGGACCCTCATGAAACCGACTCACATCATCGTGGAGACCATGATGTGAGACCCCCGGGGGCGACGGGGCGGCCGCTTTCCACCTGTTTACTAACATTAGATTCTCCTAGGACCAGGTTTACAGAGCTTTATATTTTGCACTAGGGATCTCTTCCTCGTCCTCGTTGGTGTTTTTTGTCAAACGTGAACTCCGTGCGTGTGCGCGTGTGCACGTGTGCGTGAGCGTGTGTGTGTGTGTGTGTGTGTGTATCGTGGGTGTGCGTATTTTGTTCTGATTTTGGGATATTTTGTACAAAAAAAAAATAGAAGAAACCCCCCTTTTTCCACTGAATTAGGTCTATTTCAGGGGAACTGGGTGAAAAGTTTTCTTTGTAGATATCTTTGTTTTTTTCTCTTTCTGGAACATGTGACTCTTGACCATGGGACACTTTGACCATGTGAATGACCCTTCTTGCCAGCAATAGAGATCGTTTTTTGGGGTTTTCTTTTCCAAAAGCAATTTTTCGGTGCTTGGTCGAACCAGGAGAAAATTCTGACCCCCCAAGGAAGACTAAAGTGTTGAGGATGATTTTTCAGCCCTGAGCTGCGTCTTGAGGGTGTAGTATCTTTCCGAACCTGGTTCAGGGGTTCGACATCCGGAACAGAGTGACTGGCCAGACCCCCCCGAGGAGCAGAAGAGACAGGGCCCAGAGGAGACCCTTCGTTACATTTCTCTTAGCCAACAAGAAACCTGCCAAAATCTATGAACCAGGCCCTCAAGTTAAATAGATGGACGAGAGCTCAGAAAGGAGACTCTTGAAGCAGGATTTGAAAAGTTAAAGAGCAATAGAAACTCTAGCTCCGGGTTTAAAAAAAAAAAAAAAGAAATCCCATCTTTTATTTTGAGATCGAGGGTGGATAATCGGTAGGACTGTCCGAGTCCAGGGTCCAAGCAGGAGCTGTGAGAGATGGCAGAGCCCTTGAAAGAGGTGGGTGATGGGCCACCCACGATCCTTTCTGGAACATTCCGGGCAAAGACCCCACGCTGGCTCGAGAGCATCCGGGGTCTGGCGGATGGGTCTGTTGCATTTGAAGGGGGTCACAGCAGGATCTGGGTGTCCCCTGAGGATGAGGGGAGGCAGATGGACCAAAGCACGGGGCCCTGCGTGTTCTCAGGGGCCTGGAGTTGGGGAGCGGGGATTTCCTCCCCTCGTCTCTCCACCCCCAACTGGGACCCGCCTGTCAAGCTCTCTCTAAAGTGTCACCTAGGGCCACCTCAGCTCCTAGCCCCCAACTGCCCAGAGTGGCCTCAGGGGTGGGGATGGAGGTGCCCGGCACCCCCCAAATCCTCCTGAGAGCCGGCCCAAGGAGGGTCTGGCAGGTCGGGGTCGTCCAGGGACACGGGGGAGGGGGGGCTGGCACCCCCAAGACCTGGTGTCATCGTGAGTGACACCCAGAGCCAGGTTCGCCCCTGAGCCAGGAAGGAAGGTGCTACACCCTTCAGAGGTCCACCCCGTGCCCCCTCTGGACCTGAACGGGGCCGTCCTTGTCACTGTGGTCAGTCTCAGCCACACCCCAATGTGACCAGGCACCCAGGCGGGGACTGTCCCCGAGGCTGGCTTCCACGTCCCGAGCTGTGTCTCTGGGACCCCTGGAAACCTCCTGCCGCCCCAATTTGGGATTTTTAGTGAGGGGGGGGAGACTCCCCTGTCCCCCTCCTGCCCCCCTGGTCTTGGACAAGTGGCCTATTTAGGGACACTCTGCCAAACGTCCCCGGATCCCATTCCAAGCCACCCGTGCTGGTCCCCTGCCCCTGTTTTTCCGTGTCTCTGTGGTCCCCGTGGTGTGGGGCCTGTGTCCTTGTCCTGCTGATGTTACCCAGTTGCCGTGTGACCCCCCCGTTTTCCTGTCGTCTTCTGGAACTTTCTAGAAAACTCACCTTGTGTCCCTCTGGGAAGGCAGGGTCCCCCCCACCCCACCCCCCGGGGAGCAGGACCCTGAGAAGCTGCGGCCACCTGAGACTTCGGGGTCCTCTCGGTCCCCCTTTCCCCTCCCACCACGAGCTCGTGCCCTGGGGAAAGGACGTCCCCGTTAACGTGGTGACACTCTGGAGGTGGCCCGCAGACCCAAATTCTAGACCAAAGACGCACCCAGAGGCCGGGTCCCCAAGGCCCCCACCTGGAAGAGGGGTCGGCCACTGTCTCCGACTGCTGCTCCTGGGGCCCCAGGCCCCTGCCTTCCCCGTGTCCCCTCCTGGCCACAGCGTGGGTCTGTGTCCCCCGTGACGACGGCTGTCTTTCCCGTCTCTCTCTGTAGAAGTGAAATTTGTCCCTTAGAGCTCACGACTGGTCCCCGTCTTGGGACAGGCGGGTCCAACCTTCCTCCCGCCACCTGCCTGGGACGGGTCAGAGATCTGGTGTCACCTAGATCTGGTGTCACCCGGTGCCCAGGCTGCCCCATCTGGACAGGAAGCCACCAAGGCACAGACTTTTTTTTTTTCTAAAGATGAAGAAGTGGGTGGGGGGGGTCCCCAAGATGAATGTCCCACCCCCCCTCCCCGGGGAGCTGCCTCATGGATCGGAGACCCTGGGACTGACCCCAAGGCTCTCCAGGGTCCCCTGTGCAGTGACCTCGGTGTCCCTGGGGAAACCCGGTCCCCGAGCAGGGAGGGGGCTTCAGGCGTTCCTGAGTCACGAGGATCAGGCGGCGGCCGGCGAGTGTGACCAGAGCCGGGTCCCCATCCCTCCCCAAGGTTCTCCCTGGCGACCAAAGACGCGTGGGTGACAGAGGAAGCAGATGTCCTGGTGGTCAGGGACGGGGCGAGAAGCATCCCCAGCACCTCAGACCCTCCCCCGGGGCCCTCTTGGTCCCCAGCTGGCGAGATGGGAGGTGGCCTCGGGCAGGACAGGCCATCTGTCCCCCCTGACCCTGCCCAGGGACCTCCTTCCCCGCAGGTCACCCCTGGGAGAGGGGACCTGAGAGTCCTCTGTGCACAGGAGCAAGCCAAGGCCCAGGCTGGCCGGTCGGCTCCCCCCTAAAAAAAAATTAGGATTTAATGACAACTTCCAGGGCTCCAAACGGAGTCCCGGGGTAGGTGGCACTCCCTGGTCCCCGCCCAGCACCCCAAAGCCCCCCTGGGCGGTCCCCTGAGCACCTCCAAGAGCCCCTTTGATAAAGCCATGGCTCTGGGCGGTGGCACCAGGCTGGGAGCAGAAAGTCCCCAACTTCTCCCGAGACTCAGCCAGGAGGGGACCCAAGGGACAATCCTAGAGGGTCCTTCAAAGCCTCAGACGCAGGCGGCCCCCCCCCCCCCCGACAGATTCAGGGCCAAACTGAAAACCCAGGAGCCACCAAGTTGGAGAACAATCCAGAGTCCCTGAGTCCCAGGGCCACCTCCCCCTGCCCGCCCGTGACCCCCACAGGAAGCTCTTTCCCACCCCCCGATGGTCCCCTGAGTGTCCCCTCTTGACCTGTTGTGACTCCCTGGAGGAGGAGGAGGGAGTCCCTTGTGGGACATTTGGCTTCCCATCGAGATGGTGGCTGCATTTTAATTTTTTGGTCCCTTGATTTCCCCCAAGTCATGGTCCCCAACCTTCCCCTCCCCCCCCCCCCCCCCTCCCCCTCACGCACCCCCAAGACTCTCTCTATTTAGCACAAAGCAAAAGCTGATAAACGTGGGGTTCGCCTCCTTCCAGAAAAAAAAAATGTCCTGGCTCATCGGGACTTTTTTAAAAAATAAAAATTTTTAAAAAAAAATTTTAAAAAAAGATAAAATTTAAAAAAAAAAACCCTTCAAACTATTTTTAAGCTATTTTAAACTTTTGTAAAAAAAAAAAAAAATACGACTAAAAAAAAAACCCACAAAGATCTATGAAATCCATCCACGGGAGACTCTTCGGAGGAGGAAATATTTGTATTTGAACAAAATCCTTGGTGTGTCCCCCTCCCCGTCCCCTGTCCCCGCAGAATACGAGCTTCTGTGTGTCCATGTTTGATGATGGAGGGTCCCTGGGATTCGCGGGGCTCATGTGTGTGCGTGCGTGTGTGTGTGTGTGTGTTCATTTCTTCTTTGGCTTTTTAGATAAATATGTATATCGATATTTTAAATCCATCTTTGGCTTTTTCTTTTTTGTAGAGGAGTTTGTAATCACCTTATAACACGACAATAAACATTTCCTTTTTAAAAGCCCCCAGCTGGTGTGCGGTGTGTTGGGGCTGAGCGGACGTTTCCCCGTGGGTTGGGCGAGCCCTTGACGGTTTCTAGAAATTTCTGTGAAGGGCTTTTTGAGGCCGACCCCACAAAAATGTAGAGTGCAGGTGGAGGATCCCGTCCCAGGTGGGGGGGGGGACCATTTCTGTATTTTATTGAGAGACAGGGACTCTCGCTGAGCGGCTGAGGCTGGCCTCCAACTTGGGATCCTCCTGCCTCAGCCTCCAGAGCCGCTGGGGGGATGACAGGCGTGCGTCACCGCGCCCACCCTCCAGCCCTTTTTAGTTTTTATTTTCAAGCCAGGGTCTCACACGACGTTGCTTATGGACTCCCACTTGCGATCCTCCTGCCTTGGCCTCTGTGGTCTGAATTCTTAATGATTTGCTTACGGGTTCACCGTCCTCCACTGTAGTAGGCAGACAGGCCCTCAGTCCCTCTGTGGATGTTGTAATGTCCAGGGGCCACATCATGCCCAGTAAATGGCAGGTTTTTAAAATGTATTAACGTATGGCTAACATGCATTCACGTTGGGGAGGCTGAGGCAGGAGGATGGCAAGTTGGAGGCCAGCCTCAACAACATAGCAAGACCCTGTCTCTAAAAAAGGAATAAAATAAGGGCTGGGGATGGGGGTTCGGTGGTTAAGTCCTCTTGGGGTTCCATCCTTGGTACCCAAACTACAAACAACAACAAAAATATCAGTGTTTGAACTTAACCCAGGTGCGATGTCACTGGATCTGTAGGGACACTGGCCGTCGCCAACCAAGAAATAAAGAAAATTAAGGAAAAAGAAAACCGTCCACTCCAGTGGCTTGAAATATTTTTACTTTAAAAAAAAAATCACCCCGCGGGTACTGGACCCCCCACCCCACCCCACGCCCGTCACGGCAACCCCTGGTGGGACACAGATTGACACATGGGCCCCCCACAGACCACAAGTGGCCTTTGCAATGTCCTGGTTGGCACGGCGGGCTCTCCCCGGAGCCCTAAGAAACCTCGAGTAGAAAAATACTTTACAAGGAAAGTTCTAATCTCAGCCAGAGAAAAATACAGCTTTGGGGACGGGGGGGGGGGGGGGGGGGGACATGTCACAGGGGCCGTTCCCAAAAGGCGTCTGCAGGCAGGGTGGTCACCGGGGAGGGGTGCTGGGGAGCGTCAAGTCAGGGACGAGCGTCCCCACGAGAAGCCACGGGAAGTATTGCATATGAGAAGGTCCCATGGCCCCGGCCACAGAGCCACACCGCCTGGCCTCATTGCATATGTCGGGGGGGGGGGGTAAATGGCGGAGGCCACAGCCCGAGGAAGGGACAGGGGGTGCAGGTCGGAGTGGATGTGTCCTCCGTGGCCTGGAGGCCTGGAGTCGAAGGGGCAAGCCCAAGCCCAGAAGCCCTGAGTGTGTGTCCATTACAGCCCTGTTTCTTCACGAAGGCCCAGAGAGGGTGGGCCACCCATCCAAGGCTGCACAGCAGGACCCGCTGATGGCCCGGAGAGACACCTCTCTCTGGCGGTGCCGTCTCCCACCCCTCGAAGCGGGGGTCTCTGGGCCTTCGCATGGTGCCCCTCTTTCACCCTGGGGTGGACGTTGACCCGGGAATCCAAGATGGCAGAGGCGCTTGGGTGGCCCCAGCCAGAGGCAGGAAGGGACCCTTGGAGAGGGGACCATCAGGGAGCAGGACACCGGGAAGTGGAGGGGACGGTGGGCAGGTGGAGAGGGTCCTGTGTCCACTCAGAGACTGTCCAAGAGGAACCGATCCCGGGGACATGACATCACCGCCAAGAGGGGCCTGGACTGACTCGGGGACGGAGATGGGTCGTGGTCACCCAAAGCCCCGATGGTGCCTGCCCCAGGGTCCCCAGACCCACAGGCTCCAGTCAAAGGCTCAGGGCCGGCTTCCTGGGGTCCCATGCCCCCAGCTCGGTGTCCCCAAAGCGGAGGTGCTGCAGGAGACAGGGTCCCAGGAGTCCCACCCTGAACACATCCTCCTTGGTGGCCCGGTCTCTGGGTGACATGGGCCCTCTGCCAGGGAATGTAAGCACCTGAGTCCGGGGGACGGGTCCTGGGGGACGGTCCCTGCTCACCTCCTGTGACAGCGAGCTCAGCGCCCCTGGTAGCCCATTCTCGGGCTTTCCCGTCCCTGTCACCTGTCCACGGAGGCCCACGGGGACCTGAGAAGCCCCAGCCCCTCTCCTCCTGTCCCCACCCTTTTGGGGAAGGGCTCCCCTGGGGCATCTTGGTGACCAACTTGGCAAACACGCAGATGTCACTCTGAACGGAGGACGGGGACCTCGCTGCCTGGTGCCCCCCATTGACACGGAACTTGGGGACAGAGACCAGGTCCCGTCCCGGTCGGCCAAGCAGGTGCCCACGGGGTCTCCACCGTTGGCCCGTGGGGTGTCTGGATCAAGGGCCACCTTCAGAGCATCTGGGGACTGCCGGGGCCTGGCACTCGTGATGACCGCTTGCTCTGCGCCAGGGGGTTGCGGCTGATGACCAGTTCCAGGACGTCACCCGCCTCGGCCAGGAGTGGCACCGCCAGGCAGCAATCGAAGTCCCGCGTGCGGACGTGGTTGACCTGCACAGTGCACAGCCGGGCGACAGGACCCAGGGGTCAGCTCAACAGGGAAGGGGAAGCGGAAGGAAACAGCTCCGGAGGCTGAGGCAGGAGGATCCCAAGGTGGAGGCCAGCCTCAGCCACTGAGTGAAACCCTAAGCCACTTAGCAAGACCCTGTCTCAAAATGCAAAAATAAATAAATAAAAAGGGCTGGGGCCGGGGCTCTGTGGTTAAGCGCCCCCTGGGTTCCATCCAAAGCCACAACAAAAAAATTTCCTTTCAAAATAACTAAGTTGAAAAAGCCCCATCGATTTAGGGAGAGAAAGCACAAGTTAAGTCCATTAAGTACCAGAGACAAAAATGTCTGGGCATGGGAAAGGATGGTCCAGGGGGACCTCCCACCCTCCCCGGTGTCCTTGGCTGTCAGGCAGGTCACATGGGCTGCGAAGGATCATGACAGGTATCTTTCTGGGTGAAGGCAGCCTCCTTTCCTCCGTCCTGCAGTTTGAGGAGGCCACGGGAGTTAGACAAGCTGGAGGGTCCATCCGCCTCGGGAAAGCAAGGCCACACTGCCCCCCAGTGGACATACAGAGAAGTTCAATACTAGTGCCTGCTCAGCACTGAGGTCTGGGGGTTGTTTGTTACTGCAGCATAACTCAGCCTCACCTGACTGATACAGCTCACTTTGTCATTCATCTTGTTATTATTATTACTTGTACTGGGGATAGGACCTGGGGGTGACTTGCCATTGAGATACACCCCTATTCTTTTTTTTTCAATTTTTAATTTTGACACAGGGTCTAAGTTGCATAGGATCTCACTAAGTTGCTGAGGCTGGCCTCCAACTTGGGATCCTCTGGCCTCAGCCTCCCAAGTCGCAGGGATGACAGGCATGGGCCACCGCACCCCGTCGTCATTGGCTTCTCTCAGATGTGTAGAGGTGGGCTCTTCCCCTGTCCCAAGGCCCCCCCACCCCTGTAGTGTCCCCTGCGTTACCTGAAGGACCCTGTCAAAGGGCTGGAGGCCCCCACGCTGGGCTGGTCCTTCGGGGCGCACCGTGTGCACGTAGACCCCCTTCTCCAGGAGGCCGTCTGAGACGCTGAAACCAAAGTCGTTCCGCACGGGGTCCTTGTGCAGCGTCACCTGGGAGCAGAAGGACGAGGGGGTCCCTGAAGCTCTGACTTGTGACTCCAGCCCCCCGTGGTGGCCTGAATCCCTCGGTCTCACGTTGGAAAGAGCTGGGTTCGAGCTCAAGGGCGGCTCAGAGACAGGGGGGGCTGGGGGTTTCTCCTCCTGGGAGATGCTGGCTTCTCGTTTCAGGTAGTGACGGAAAGTTATGATGGATAGAAAAATGTTGCCCAGCCTGGTGCCCTGGCCCACGCCTGTCAGCCCCCTGGTGGCTGGGAGAGGCTGAGGCAGGAGGACCGCAAGTTGGAGGCCAGCCTCAGCCACTTAGTGAGACCTGTCTCAAAATGAAAAATGAAAAGCTCTGGGGATGTGGCTCAGTGGTTCAGGGTCCTTGGATTTAATCCGAGAGAGAGAGAGAGAGAGAGAGAGAGAGAGAGAGCGAGCGAGAGATTGCACAGTGGTTCCTCAGTATCTGCAGGAGATTGATTCCAGTAACCCTTAAAGACTTTTTAAAAAGTCTGTACATGTTCAGTGCAGATATCATTTTTTTTTTTCAGAAAAGCATAGATTGAACCCAGGGATGCTTTACTGCTGAGCCACATCCCCAGCCATTTAAAAAAAAAAAAAATTTTTAACTGTAGTTGGACACAACACCTTTATTTTATTTATTTATTTTTATGTGGTGCTGAGGATCGAACCCAGGGCCTCGCACGTGCTAGGTGAGCGCTCTACCGCTGAGCCACAACCCCAGCACCGCCCCCCTTTCGCCATTTCTATTATCATTTTTTTTTAAATTTTGAGACAGAGTCTTGCCAAGTTGCTGAGGCTGGCCTCCAACTTACGATCCTCCTGCCTCAGCCTCCCAAGTCCCTGGGATGACGGGCGGGCGCCTCTAATGTATCGACTTTTCTAGATGCACGTGCACACATCGGTGCCGACTCACACACACTTGGACACACACACACACACACTGGACAGGGGGTAAAAGCCAGTCCACTTAGTCCTGTTCTGCATTGTGCGTGTTTATCACCCAAATGACGAGGCTGTGGGAAACTCAACCCGGTATAAAATCCCTGTTTTACGGTGGAGGAGGATGAACGTGGAGAGCAGAGAGGCCCTCCGCGTCCCAGGGGGGTCCCCACCCGGCACCCACCTTGTGCATCTCCAGGGGCGCGGGCCGCAGCAGCTCCTGCAGCTCTTCGGGGGACCCTGGCACCTCCCGGGCCCTCCTCCAGGCCCGGAGGCCAGGCCTGCCCTCCAGGGCCGCGCTCTGCACGGAGCCCGTCATGATGGAGGCCTGTAGGGGGCACCACCCGACTCTCAGAGGACTGTCCTCCTGCTGCACCGGGCAGTCAGCACACGGGGACACCCCTGGGTACCCAGGGTCCCCGGGAGGAACAGGGGGAGGTGGCTCTTGCCCCACCTTGGGGGCTTCCCATCACATAATCACAATAATAGTGACTGGGGCTGCATTCTAGAACTTTCTAGGCTCATTTCTTGTTTCTTTTGGGAACCAGGGATTGAAAGACGGGGTGCTCCACCACGGAGCCCCGTCCCCAGCCCTTTTTATATCTTATTTAGAGACAGGGTCTCACTGAGTTGCTTAGGGCCTCACTGTGTTGCTGAGGCTGGCCTCCAACTTGTGATCCTCCTGCCTCAGCCTCCAGAGCCGCTGGGATTCCAGGCATGCACCATGCGCCCGGATGCTGGGCTCACATCTCAGCACTTCACACTCACAACTCTTTTTTATTCTCTGCAATAGTAATGAGGAGGTCTTGCACCATCCCCCCCCCATTTTTCAGATAAGTAAACTGAGGCTTAGAGAGATACGACTTGAATCCAGAGTCTGGCTCCAAAATCAAGGCTCTTAACCACTTTGCTGCGCGGCTATTCATAAACATCAACTTTAAGGTAACATGATCATTGAGACAGAGGAGAGGTTCATGGGTCATGAGCACCCAGGATGGAGTAAGTGGTCAGGGAAATTTCCAGAACTGAGATCTCAGGAAAAAGAGGAGGCAGGAGAGTGTCTCTGGAAGACGGAGCAGCATATGCAAAGGCCCTGTGGTGGGGAGACCTGGAAGGAGGCCCATGGCTGGGGGCAGCAGTAGTGTGGCATGGGAGGAGGGACTAGCTCAGAGATGCTCCAACAACACAGAACACAGGTGGGGTGCCTCTGGGAGTGACTGCCCCCGAGAGGGTGAAATCGAAAAGCCCAGCTGCCCCCGGAGGTGACAGATAGGTAGATTCATGCTCAGGACACTAGAAATAATAGAAAAAGAAAAGAAAAGAAAATTTGAGAATAGGTTTGTTGAAAAATGTATAGAAAAGTCAAAACATAGGGAGACAAAGACATTAAGAACAAAAGACAGAATATTTGAAAAATAAATAGACATTATACAAATGAAAGAGATAGTTCCTGAAATACAATCTCTAGGACTATACGTCAGAATAAATAGAGTCAAGAGAGAATTAGTGAATGGGTGGGCAGATTAAAGAGGGCAGAGAAAGATGTTAAAAGAAAAGTTAAGAGACGTGGAGGACAGAATGCCTCTTAGATAACGGAGCCACACCTTCCAAGAGGTCAGAGAATTTTCGTTTTATACCCAGCTAAACTATCGTTCAGGATTTGCAGGGAAACAGAGCTCTTGAGACCACAAGACCTAAGAGACCTGACATCCAAAGACCCTCACTGACTGAGCTCTTGAAAAAAAAATATATTTAAAAAAGGAACTCCGAAAGGAAAGGTGGGATAAGAGAAGGAACGTGAGCAAAGAAAAAGGTTGATAAGAGGAAACACGTACTGGCCGAATCCCCGCATGAAATTTGAGCAGTTTTTATAAATAAGTTAGGAGATAGAAGGAGATTGTTTGGGGGGAAGTTGGGCATATTCTCAAGTGCCTGTCTTATTAAGAAGTATTGATTAGAGTTTGTTAGAAAATTGAAGTTAAGAAAAAATACGGGGCTGGAAGTGGTAGTGCTTGCCTGGAATCCCAGCGGCTGGGGAGGCTGAGGCAGGAGGATTGTGAGTTCAAAGCCAGCCTCAGCCAAAGCAAGGCCCTAAGCAACTCAGTGAGACGCTGTCTCTAAATAAAACACAAAATAGGGCTGGGGACAGGGCTCAGGGGTGCAAAGCGCTGAGATCAATCCTCAGCACCCCATAAAAATAAATAAAATAAATAAGTAAATGAATAAAATAAAGGTAGAAAATAAAAACTAAATTAAAAATAAGCAAAGCGTACGCAATTTAATAAAGATATAGATTCAAACAAGTTTATGGACAATCTTTTTCTGTCTAGAACCCTACCACCCAACGGAAGGCAATTCACATTCTTTTTTAAGCATAGAGGTGACATCTACTAATGTTGATCCCATTTGCTGGGTGCGGTAGTGCACACCTGTCATCCCAGCGGCTGGGGAGGCTGAGGCAGGAGGATCACAAGTTCAAAGCCAGCCTCAGCAACTCCGTGAGACCCTGTCTCAAAATAAAACATAAAAGAGGCTGGGGATGAGGCTCAGTGGTTAAGCACCCCCCCTGGGTTTAATTCCTGGTACAGAAAAAAAAAAATTGATCCCATTCTAGGCCACAGAGAAAGAAGTTTTCACAAATTCAAAAGAATTAATATGAAATGGAATATGCTCTGGCCACGGTACATAACATTGAAAAAAAAGCAATATGAATTGGTTTTTTTTACATTAAATATAAAAATAGCTAAAAACAAAATCAAGCATTCTAAAACTAAAAAAACAAACAAAACTTCCCACTTCTGCACAGTTCAGGGGTTGAAGTAAAGACGATGGTGAAAATATTTAAAATATTTGAAACTGAGTAGACTGGTAAGAAGAGCATAAATCAAAATTTGAAGGATCGCAGCCAAAGCAGTACCTACAGGTGGAATCGTAGCTTTACCAATGGACTCTGTGAGCAAAGAAAAAATGCTGAAAGTTCAATACCAAAAACACCAGGCAAAGCATCATTGCTTAAAAAATACACATGGAGGCTGGGGATGTGGCTCAAGCGGTAGTGCGCTCGCTTGGCATGCGTGCGGCCCGGATTCGATCCTCAGGACCACATACAAACAAAGATGTTGTGTCCGCTGAAAAACTAAAAAAAAAAAAAAAAAAAATACACATGGTAGAGTCGGGCGCGGTGGCCCACGCCTGGAATCCCAGCGGCTCTGGAGGCTGAGGCAGGAGGATCTCAAGTGGGAGGCCAGCCTCAGCAATTTAGCAAAAGCCCTAAATAACTTAGTGAGACTGTCTTAAAATTAAAAAAATAAAATAAATTTTTTTAAAAGGGCTGGGGGGTGTGTCCCCTCCCAGCACACGCACCCCAATGTGCCCAGGCCCGGGTGGCCCATACCTCCAGCTCCCGCAGCATCTCCGACTGGCCGCAGGACTCCAGGTCTTCGAGGGCTTCCCCGAGCACCCGCCAGAAGCCCTCCTCGCGGGGGGCGCCGGGCCCTGGGCTGTAACGTAGGGAACCACAGCGTCAGGTGGCGGCTGGGCGACAGGCCGGGGCTGGAGGCGCGTCTTCAGGGCCCTGAGGCCAGCGTCGGGCTCAAGGGGCCAGAGGGTGGACAGACGGACGGGCGGACGGGCAGGCGGGCAGGTGTCCTTGGTGGCAGTGCTGGGGCCCCCCGGGGTGGGGGTGGGGACAGTGGTTGGTGACACAGAATGGGCCGGGGAGGGGGGACACGCAGCTAGGGGCCACCAGGAGTGTCGGTGGCCAGTTAAAACATGGGCAGATGAGACAGAGTGGAGAGCCGTGACACAGGACGCCTGGGAAGAGAGACAGACGGACAGACGGACAGACAGAGAGGAGATCCATGGTATAGACCCAGAGGACAGGCCCCGGCCCCGCCCAGACACACACACCGTGACACAGCAGGGGGACACAGAGAGATGGAGACGATGGGACTTTATTTTATTTTTGCTGGGAGAGGCTCAAAGGACACTGGGGACTTCCCTGTCCCTGTCCTGTGAGTGCCAAGTCCTTGGAGGCACACTGTGGATTCCAAAGGGCTCTCTCTCTCTCTCTCTCTCTCTCAGGGTCCCAGGGGAAGGAAGGAGGGGTTCCTTCTGCTTGAGAAAGTCGGGGGAGCCTCCCTCTGGAAGGCCGGGGTCATTTGAGCTGGGTTTTGAGGGGTGCGTAGGAGTTTTCCAGGAGAGAAGCGGGAAAGGCTTTCTGGGCAGAAGGTGGGTGCGGGTTCAAGTTCTGAGCCTCCTGTTGGTCCTCTGAGATGCCTCTACACCCCCAGCCCCCTTTTTTAAATTATTTGAGACAGGGTCTCCCTGAGTTGCTGAGGCTGGCCTCCACCTTGCGATCCTCCTGCCTCAGCCTCCCAGCTGGGCCTCCACCCTGATGCCCTCTGCCTTCACCCTGGCCCATCCCAGCCAAGAGCCCGAGGCTGCCTCCTCCTCCTCTGGTGTCCCCACCACACACCTCATGGGTGGCTCCCAGTCCTCCTCCTCAGGGAAGCTCTGGTTGGCAAGGCCCGGGGTGAAGCTCGTTCTCCGGGGCTCGATGGGTGGCGGGCTGCCCCTGAGCCGGCTGGACCTCCACTCCTGGGGGGTCACGCCGCCCCGGACCGTCGCCTGTGGGGTGTAGGAACCTGGCGGGCGGAGACAGGGGACATGCACATTCTGGATGACCTGGTCGGTCACTCAGCTCCACAGGCCTGGCTTGGCAAGCTGGCCTTCTGGACCCTGTCCCCACCAGCTCCTTGGGGACAGCCTCTGAGAGCCGTCCCCAGGGACTGAGCTGAGAGGCTCAGCCCGGAGGATGGGGAGGGAGGCTGAGGCCCACAGAGAGCAGGTTCCCCCCGTGGTGGGAGCCAGGGCTGGGGCTCCCCAGGCCCCCGGAGGCCTTGCTCGCTCGCTGTGTGACCTGGGGGTTCCAGGGTGACAGACAAGGCCAGCATCAGATGTCACCGTCACTGGTGGGTCTCAGCATGCGTGACCCGGGAGGGGGCCCCAGAAGCATCGGCTCAGCTCAAGTGTTGTAGGATGGGGTGGGAGGGTGCTCTCTGGTTTTCCATGTTCAACTGGATGCAGTGAACACTAATTGGGCACCTACTGTGTACCAGAGGTTGGGATAGGAATGAGGCAAATTTGGTTCCCTTTTTTTTTTTTCCTGGTACCAGGGATTGAACCCCGGGGTGTTTAACCACTGAGCCCCGTCCCCAGCCCTTTTTGGCTTTGATTTGAGACGGTCTCACTAAGTGGCTGAGGCCGGCCTCCAACTTGCGATCCTCCTGCCTCAGCCTCCTGAGCCCCTGGGATGACAGGCGTCCCCGGGAGCCAGCCCAGCTTGGTTCTTCGTCTCACAGAGGAGAATTCTAAATAGCTGGCTGGGGTGCCGGGAATGGTAGTGCCCCGGGGGAGCCCAGGGACCCTGGAAGCGGTTAATGGGGTCAAATGGTGTCTTACTTCTATGAAGTGTCCCCTAGAGGGTCATGCTAGACAGGAGAGGCAGGAAGGAGCTCCAGAGGGACTGAGCCCCACCGAGGCAGGTCCAAGGGCCCCGGGGTGTTACCTGGACCCCCAAAGCCACCACCCTCCGTGGCCGAGCTGTCCCAGGACTCGACAGCACTGTCCATGCTGGGCACGGTGGGCGAGAACCGGGCTGGGAATCGGCCTCCTTTGATGGCGTCCGGTGGGTCCTCGTCCACGTCACTGGCCTCACTGAGGCTGCCCGGCTTGTGGGGCAGGAGGGGACCTAGGAGGAGGAGGAGGAGGAGCTGCCGTCTCTGACCTCAAAGTCGCAGCTGATCACAGCTGGTGGGACTGCAAATTGGTGCAGCCCATATGGAAAGCAGTATGGAGATTCCTTGGAAATCTGGGAATGGAACCACCATTTGACCCAGCTATTCCTCTCCTCGGACTATACCCAAAGGACTTAAAAACAGCATACCACAGGGACACAGACACATCAATGTTTATAGCAGGACAATTGACAACAGCTAAACTGTGGAGCCAACCTAGATGCCCTTCAGTAGATGAATGGATTAAAAAATGTGGCATATATACACAATGGAATATTACTGGGCACTAAAAAAGAACAAAATCATGGCATTTGCAGGTAAATGGATGACGTTGGGGAAGATAATGCTAGGTAAAGTTAGCCAATCCCCAAAAAACAAATGCCGAATGTTTTCTCCTGATATAAGGGGGTGACTCATAGTGGGGTAGGGAGGGGGAGCATGGGAGGAATAGAGGAACTCTAGATAGGGCAGAGGGGTGGGAGGGGAAGGGAGGGGACAGGGGGTTAGCAAGGATGGTGGAATGTGACGGACATCATTATCCAAAGTCCATGTATGAAGACATGAATTGGTGTCAACATACTTTATATACAACCAGAGATGTGAAAAATTGTGGTATATATGTGTAATAAGAATTGTGATGCATTCATATATAAAAAAATACTAATAAATAAATAAAAATAAGTAGAAGACCCCAAGCCCAGGCTCCCTCTTCTCTCCAGCTATCCCAGCCACCCTCCTGCCTCCCGGGGGATGTGGCAAGGACTCCTGAGACATGCATTAAGCTGAGCCCAGGGGGACAGGTGGCCCGCCCCTCCTAAGGGGCTGGGTGGTGCCCAGGGCGTGGAGCTGGGCTCACGGTCAAGCTGCTTCTTGATCTTCAGTGTGACAGTCTCGCCAGCCACCTGCAGGAGGTGGATGGCCTCGCTCAGGGGCCGGCCCTTGAGGCTGACGCTGTTGATGGCCAGGATGCGGTCCCCCACGTGGATGGCGCCAGTCCTGGGGGGGGACAGGAGGCAGAGGACTGGGGTCAGGGATCCGGAACCCCAGACACAGATGTCACCCTTTGTGGGAGCTTGTGAGTGGGGGTAGGCATTGCCCAGCATGCTCCCCAGACGCCCCGGGCAGCGGATCAGGAAGAGGCAGCGTGGCCAGCAGGACAGGTGGCCTCTGTGGCACTGGAGAGTGGCCCATGTGAATCAGGATCAGCTAAATTCTAAAATAGCCACCCGATTCCGGAGACGTAGTATGAGGAAAAGAAAATATTGATTGCACACTGAAATAAAGACATGGTCTTGCTAAGTTGCTGAGGCCGGCCTCCAACTTGCCATCCTCCTGCCTCAGCCTCCAGAGCGGCTGGGATTCCAGGCGTGCGCCACTGTGCCCAACTCTTTCGACTAGAAAGTTAATGGCTAAATTTGCATTTTGGTTTGTCCTTCAGTTGGCCAGCGCGGGGCTGCATCAGCCTGGTGGGGGCAGAGGGGTCGTCTGTGGGTCCCCAGCACCCAGGCCTGGGCTGGGTGCTCCGGGGTTCATAAGGACCTTTGGAGTCTCTGCAGCGCGCGGGGAGTCCAGCAGGGGGCGCTGCGGGCGCGGTGCCTTCCCTCCCGGAGCCGCCAGGTCGCTGCAGTGCCAGGGCGCCCCTCTGCCTGTCCTTACCCTGGGACATCTGGGGCCACCCGGGTCCCCCCAGAGCCCCGCTTACCTCTCCGCCAGCCCGCGCTTGGTGAGGCCCGAGATGACAATGGGGTCAAAAGGCTCCTCTGTGCCCGAGATGGTGATGCCCAGAGGACCCCCGTAGCGCTTCAGCTCCACCGTGTAGCTGACGGCGCCCGTGGTCTCCTGCTCGTCTGCAAAGGGGACGTCGTGAGGGCCAGGGTCCCCTGGGGCAGGGACAGGGCTGGCCCCCTGCAGCGGTGACACTCACTCCATGCAATGCATCCGCTCCGGTGGGGACCCTGAGGTCACCATCTGCACGCATGCACTCAGCTGTCCCCACCTCCCTCCTTCCTTGGCCAGATGGGACCTCGCTGGCCCACGGGGTGGCGCCCGAGAGGTGACACTCGGGTCCCTACCCGAATTGTCTTCGTCTTTCCGGATCTTCAGCTTCACCAGGTCCTCGCACTGTCGCAGGATCTGCACCGCGTCCTCCATGGGACAATTGTCCAGACGGATGTTGTCGATGGCCAGCAGCTTGTCGCCCGGCTCCAGGGTGCCCGTCCTGCGGGAGCCGGGGTGGGGGATGGGAAGGCGCCCGGTGCAGGCAGATGAGGGGCCCGGCGTCCCCTCCTGTCCCCAGGGGTGTCCCTACCTGTGTGCGGCGCTGCCCTTCTTGATGTCCGAGATGATCAGCGGCTCCCCTCGCTTCCTGCTGGCCGCTGGGGGGAAAGTGGCCATGAATCTGACCTCGGAGGACCTCAGGGTGGGGCAGGGCCATGCAGCCCAGGGCTGCTGGGGACATGGAGGCGCCCTGCTCTACGGCTTCCTGGCTGTGACTGTGAACAAAGCCTCCGCCACCCTGGGCCTCGGTTTGCATTCTGCAAGATCAGTGGGAGGCCCGGGCCTCGTGGGGAAGTGGTGAGACTAAGTCACACAACAGGAGGCGCAGTGTGTCTTTCTGGAGGGTCCCTTACAGCCCCAGGGGGAGTCTTGTCAGGCCAGGGGGGCTCCCATCTTCCCTCCTCTCCTGCCCAAGCTGGGTGCTTCCCCTTACACCACGGTGTGTCCCGGGTGTGGCAATGCTGGTGAGAAGGCAGCTGCTCCTCGGGGCGTGGCTTGTTTGAAAGGCCTTGGCTTACTCTGAGGGTGTGGCTTGCCCTCAGGGGCGTGGCTTGCTCTCAGGGGCGTGGCTTGCTTGAAAGGGTATGGCTTGCTCTGGGTGTGGCTTGCTCTGAGGGTGTGGCTTGCTCTGGGGGCGTGGTTTGCTCCAAGGGTGTGGCTTGCTCTGGGGTGTGGCTTGTTCTGAGGGGAATGGCTTGATCTGGGGTGTGGCTTGCTCTGAGGATGCACCTTGTGCTGAAGGGTGTGGCTTGCTCTGAGGGTGTGGCTTGCTCTGAGGGTGTGGCTTGTTCTGAAGGGTGTGGCTTGCTCTGAAGGGTGTGGCTTGTTCTGAAGGGTGTGCCTTGCTCTGAGGGGAGTGGTTTGCTCTGAGTGTAGCTTGCTCTGGGGCTGTGGCTTGCTCTGAGGGGCACGGCTTGCTGTGAGGGTGTGGCTTTCTTGG